AAAATATTTTTCTGTGATTTCAAATTCAAATTTGACCTTGATATGTAAAATTCTTCCTTTGGACCTGTGTGACCATTAAAAAAAATCCACATGGGCCATACAACTAATATTTGATTTTAAACCCCTTGATTTAAAAGGATTTTATTTTTTGTAACTCACAATTTTCTCTGATTGCAAAATACTGTGAGTAATGCTGTTGACTTGGCAAATCCATAAGCATTAGAAACCAAGAACAAACACCAGAGTGAAGTCAGTGGGCATCAACCTGTGACACTACATGCAAACACTGGAGAACTGATTATTAAAGTTAACACACCGTGTGAAGCAACACAAATCAAACCAGAAGGGTTAGGAAATAGAAACAAGATCACAATCTCAGGCAACAGACTAGTGAGTGAGTCTCAGATTTCGGACTGCTGTTGCCTACCAGCGCTGGACCTCAGAGTTTGCTCAGTAAGTTTTAGATATGCCTCAGGACTCTCTGGAATCACTACATCTGAAAGAAACATATACATGCATACAATACAAACATGATTGAATGCTGAACCCCACTAAAATCATCTGCTACAGCCACCAGTTTATTCTCTCTCTTTTGTTTATAGGATGAAAGATCTCACACTGACCTGAAAGGGCGGACGCTGAGCCCTGCAGGTATCCATCCTCTACCTGATCTCCCGGTTCAGAGGACAAGGCTCTGCTGGCACTCTCCAGACCCCGGCTCAGGTCGTAATCGTGGTCCCACTCCAGAGGGATGGAGTCCACGCTGGCTGGAGTGTCTCGGCCCGAGCGTTCGGCCTGTAGTGGAGCGGCCAGCGATGCAGAGCGACTGGATGAGGGCAGAGGGGACAGAAAACCATCGCCCAGACGCTCACTCCACGGAAAGCTGGACACGTCAGCAAGCTCATCCAGATCAAACTCACGGTCCGAGTACGAGACGTCATGTTTATCGTCTGTGAGCTGGATAAAGAAGAAGAATTCACAGTGGTTTTTGGGATCCAAACCTTGACTAAATTGATTAAAGAGGATGAAATAAAATGTCAAAAAATGCTAAACAAAATGTGTGCATATAAAATGACTGACTGAACGAATTGATTAATAACAAGTAAACAAAAAAAGCCAATATAAATTAAAATGGTATATTTAAATATGAAAATAAAATAAAATAGAATGAATGAATAAGGTAAACAAATAAAAGGTAAATATAAATAAATATTAAAATAAATATGAAAAAA